CAAAGACTCATCTCGAACATCCTGACCTGGGGTTTCCAACGCGGTGGGGGGGTCCGAATTCAGCCGATCATTCTGCCTGACCTCCCCAAGGTCTTCTTCAGGAAATAATGACTTATCCTCGTCCTCGCCCCAGAGCGCTGGGCCAAGATCGAAGGGATCTGACTCGGCCTGCGACCTAGGAGCCCCCGCACCTCCAGAGTCCGATTGGCCGAGCAGATCGCCGAAATACTCCTGACACGCTTCGCGAAATGATTCGATTGCTAGCTGCATGGCCTGGGCTCGCTCGGCCTTGCTCTTGCTGGCCCTACTCCCGACCTGAGGAAGTGCCCCAGGGCGAGCGACCTGCGGTAGCTTAGCGGGCAACTGCAAAGCGCGGGTGACGAGAGACTGGCTGCTACCTGCTAGCTGGACGACTAAACCACAGTGAGTGCCCCATGGCACGTCTAGCCTGGCTTGAATTCCAAGAATGCACGGTCTGGCTGAGACGCTGGCCACGAGGTAATCTATGTGACTACTGCCTGTGCCTGTGACGCAAGTGACCTCAATATCAGCGGTCATGGCGACCGCTTCAAGATTGCCAATAAACTTGCATGTATTAAGCGCAGACGGAGACATATTAAAGTCGCCCAAAATGATCCAGGGAAACGAAAGCGCCGAAACGAAGGCTCCCAAACGGGTCAACCGACGGGTATTATCTCCAGAGAGCCCTTGGGAGTGGAGTCCGTAAAAGAGCACAAGCACTATCGAATACCCTTGCACACGCACTGCGATGGGGAGGAAACCATCGAGGGCAGAACAGGAGGCAACAGCGAGCTCGGGAAAAACTTCGGCATCAGCAGTGGATTGAACCTGCCTATGTCCTTCCACGAAAAAAGCCTCGCCCCCTTCGTTGGCCTTAGAGATTTGCGCCTCCGAAGTTTCTTTGCCCGAAGGCCTAGCAGGGTTAAAAAAGGACCGATGAGAAAAAGCGCGCGCCTCCTTGGGCCACTTGGCCGTAGAAGCCTCGTCGACATGAGTTTCGGCGAAGCCCCAGACCTGGTACCTAGAGACGTTCTCCTGAAAAAATATGATAGCCTGGGGCCCGAGCTGAGTGACATTACTGTAAAAAATCTGGAAGGCCTCAGACTCAGAAGCCGTAGTCGACGCCGAAGTACTCCGATGTGCCGACCCGCCCCCGGGATCCTTGAACCCGCCAGACTTGACCACACCAGCCGAGCCTTCGCGAAATTGAAGATCGTGTGCCGTGACTGACTGGCCTGCACTGCCCGCCGAGCCTCCTGACTCGGGGACCGCCGAACCTTGCTGCACCCTGGGCGCTGATGGCCCCCCAGGGTCTCCCATAGCGCCCAGGAGGCTGGCGGCCCCCGAGGGGTCGGGGCGTGCAAGGACTAACAAGTCGTCACGGCCGTAATTGTGCGCCTCCTCGATGGATTGCGCCAGCACCGTGGGAGGCGTGCTGGCGCCCTCGGAAGGTCACAATGCACCAGTGGGAGTCGTCGCCGCCGCCGCTGATGCACTGCTGGACGCTGCATCCTTGGCTGCAGCTGCCTTCTCCGCTGCCTGGAGCTTGACTTCACTAATACGATCAGCTTCCCGCTGGAGTTGAGCTTCTGGAGACTCCTGGGTGAGGTCGACTGGAGTCGAGCTGGCTACCTTGGGATCGTCGCCCTCAGCACCATCAGCACGTCTCTTGTTTGCCAACCTGTCATGGAGCTGTTTCTGCATCTGCTCCTTCTTGTTGACCCAGGTCATGATCTCCTCGTTCTTGGTCTCCATCTGCGTCTTGAATCCTTTGAGCTGGCGCTCAATCTCCTTGAGTTCATCTTTCTCACTGTCTGTGATACCTGGAATGCCGTCTATGTTCTGGAAGAAAGTTTCGTCGAAACATACTCCGAAGAAGCCCTCCTTGCCAGATTCTGGAGCTGCAATACCCATGCTGGACGCCAGGGCCTTGGTAGCCGTCAACTTCTGCCGTTCAGCCCGCGCAAGTGCCAAAGACGTTTCCTTTTCACGAGCCTCCGCTCGAGACAGGTTGTTCCTGGCCTTGATGAGGGACTGAATAGCCTGGTCGTGCTTCAGCGTGGCATCGCGTACTGCTCCTGATGCACGTTTGACCGCTTCATCGGGCGAGGTGTCGCTACTCTGAGAGGCCCCTTGGGCCTGCTTCAACCTATCGATCTGAGCCTGCAACGCCGAACGAAGAGCTGGATCCTCCGCGACAAGAGTGGCCGCCTCGAGCTTGGCGAGAGGCGTGGGCTCCGTGGTAGATCCCTTGCCTCCGACGGCCGCAGGGGCCTTGACGAACTGATTGTCGTTCTTCATACTCTTGTCACCATTCCTCTTACCCAAATGCAAAGTCAGCCACGTGCCACACGCACAAGTAGAATTGCGTGCTAGAAGAATGTCGTTGTACTCACAAGTGTCACAAGACGGGCATCGTGTCCATAATCTTCGAGTGCTGCTGCCATCGTTTCCTTTACCCTTGGACTTGGCACCTTTGTGTCCTCGTCCACCCATGGCAGGACAGAGAGCCCCCTTTAGCCACCGTGCGAGCAGCACAGCGCACGGGCCCCTCAAGCACCCCGAGGAGGTAGGGACTATGGTTCGGTGCGCTGTCCCCTGCAACTGCTGCTACAGGACGGAGGGGCACCTGAACCAGAATGGCTTGAGCCAAATGGCTACGGAGGAGGAGGACGAGGAGGAGGAGGACGAGGAGGAGGAGGAGGAGGAGGAGGAGGACGAGGAGGACGAGGAGGACGAGGAGGACGAGGAGGACGAGGAGGAGGAGGAGGAGGAGGAGGAGGAGGAGGGGGAGGGGGATTTCAAAGAGGAGAAAAGGGAGAAGGGGAGAGGCGAGGCAGGGCCAGCTGCTCTCTGCACCTGGCGTCGAGGTCCTGGGCTGCGTTGGCCAGCCCCGGGCATGGCCTGCTCGCGATCCCTCTTCCCGCCCAACGTCCTCCCCCCACCTTCCCCCCCCCATATACCCTCCCCTCGAGAACTCGGCAGGCTATGGAGAACAGTCCTCATCCTCCTCCTCCTCCCTCCCTCCCCTCCCTCCCTCCCTCCCTCCTCCTCCCCTCCCTCCCTCCCTCCCTCCCTCCCTTTCTCCTCCTCCTCCTCCTCCTCCTCCTCCTCCTCCTCCTCCTGGTCCTCCTCGTCTCATGCCTGGATGATGCTCTGCACTTCGGGCATCCGGAATGAATACGGCTACGGTGAAATAGGTAGGATGCCCAACAGCAAATCTTGTCCAAAACAGGCAACCGCCGCTATTGGACAGGCGACTCTCTCTGTCTCAAGTGGACAATCCCCGCCACGGCACAGGCAGCGAGTCCTGTTCAAACTAGGCACGGACTGCTGTCACTCTTCTTCCCCATCATTTCCGCACCCCTTTCGGTCGTACCAATGCGCGGTCGAGCCCCCTTCCTCTCAGCGGGGAAGCCTGCCCGGATGTTCGAGGTAAGGTCCGCGAGTGCCCACCGGCTCGTCGTGCCCAGCTCGGCGCTGACCGTCTGCATCAAGGGCCGCGGATGCGGCACGAGGGCGGTCATCGCCGAGGAGTCGAGCGCTCTGTCCGCTACCGCTGCGTCAGACGTCCCGCTGCCTAGATGGCTAGTCTGGCGGTGCGCCAAAAATGGTCATTTGCAGCGCTGTGGGTGAAATCCGGCCCTGCTGCCCAGGTGAGCCCCTCCGAATGCACCCCAAAGAGGGTGCCTCTCGGCAAGGGCTCGAAGCCGAAGTGACTACGTCGGGGAAAAGAAAGAGGAGGAATAGGAAGTCGAGGAAGAGGGGGAAGAGGAAGAGGAGGAGGGGGAGGAGGAGCAGGAGGAAGTGGAGGGAAAAGGGAATGAGAAGAAAGAGTCAGAGGAGGAGAAGAGGAGAAAGAGGAGGAGGCAGGGCATGAAGGGAGGGGGAAGAGGGCGGAGGCGGAGGAGGAATAGGCAGGCTTTAGGGACATGGTAGGGAGAGGGAGAATTGAGGGAAAGAGACGGGAGAGTGCGGATGAGAAAAAAATGGGGGGTCAGGAGGACGGACGACGCAGGACGGCGGCAGCTATGGCGGAGGGGACGAGGAAGAACAGGCAGAGGGAAGTAGGGAGAAGCGAGAAAGGGTGGAGGAAAGAGGGAGGAGGGGGAAGGAGGAGGAAGAGGAGCAGCAGCAGAGGGAGGAGGAGGAGAGGAGGGGGAGGAGGACGAGGAGGAGGAGGACGAGGAGGAGGAGGAGGAGGAGGAGGAGGCGGAGGAGGAGGAGGAGGGAGTGGAGGGGGAGGAGGGAGGAGGAGGAGGAGGAGGAGGAGGAGGAGGAGGAGGAGGAGGAGGGAGGAGGAGAAGGAGGGGGATGAAGAAGGCGGCGAAAGAAGAGAGAAGAAAGAAGAAGAAGAAGAAGGAAGAAGGAACGAGGAAGGAGGGAGGGGAGGGGGGAGGCGGGGAGGAGGAGGAGGAGGAGGAGGAGGAGGAGGGAGGAGGAGGAGGAGGAGGGGAGGAGGGGGGGAGGAGGAGGGGAGGAGGGGGGGGGGAAGGAGGAGGAGGAGGAGGAGCAGCAGCAGAAGGAGGAGGAGGAGGAGGAGCAGGTGGAGGAAGGGACGAGAAAGAAGTGAGGAGGCAGGAGGGACGAGGGACCGACGACCGACAATCGAGACGACCCACGGCGCACCACGACGACTGAATCCCACAACAACCGACGACCACCCATGGCCACCACGACCAACACGACAGCCACGACCACGACAACTACCAAAACGACGACCACCACGACCACGGCGACCACGACGAGAACGACGACCGACGACCAGGACCACGGCCACGACGACGGCGACGACCACCACCACCACGACGACGACGACCACGACGCCGCCGGCGACTACGACGTCGAACGGCAGCAGCCGCCAACGGCGACGACGGCGACGACGACGACGACGACGACGAGGACGCCGACGAAGCGCAGGGGCGGGCGACGAGCGGGCACGAGCCCCTGGGCGCGCAGAGGGGGCGCGCGCGGCGCACCGGTCGCCCCACTCCGCGAGGAAGATGAGGACCTGGCCCGCGGGCCCCGGTCGGCCACGGGGGCCCCGTGATGGTGCCCCCGCGCGGAGGAGGAGGAGGAGGAGGAGGAGGAGGAGGAGGAGGAGGAGGAGGAGGAGGAGGAGGAGGAGGAGGAGGGGGAGGAGGAGGAGATGGAGGAGGAGGAGGAGGAGGTGGAGGAGGAGGAGGAGGAGGAGGAGGAGATGGAGGAGAAGGGGGAGGAGGAGGAGGAGATGGAGGAGATGGAGGAGGAGGAGGAGGAGGAAGACGCAGGCACAGACGCAGACGCAGACGCAGACGCGCGAGTCCGCCGGCCGGCGGGCCGGCAGGCCCCTCAGAGGCGGCGCGGGTGGGCCGGAGCCCAGGTCAGGCGGGCCCAGCCTGCGGGCGGGCTGCGGTCGGCCACACGCAGGAGCGATGCGACGCTCAGGTCGGGCATGTCCCCCTACGGGCGGATTCTGGGCGAGACACTAAGAATGGCCAAAGCAATCACCAACAAAAAAACAGGGTCAACAAAAAATCAGCAGCACAAAAATAGCGTCCCCTGACTTTCGTTTAACTATTCCCTAATCAGAGCTTGCCTCTGTAGGGATCCTAGCGGATTCATATGGTTAGGTTAGGTTTGTCGCCGATTTTCGCTGCACGCCCGGGTGCCCGGGTGCCCGGGGGTGCCCGGGGCCCGGGTGCCCGGGGGTGCCCGGGTGCCCGGGTGCCTGGGTGCCCGGGTGCCTGGGCGTGCCCGGGGGTGCCAGGGGGTGCCCTATAGCCCTATAGCCCTATAGCCCTATAGCCCTATAGCCCTATAGCCCTACAGCCCTATAGCCCAATAGCCCAATAGCCCTATAGCCCTACACAACTCTATAGCCCTATATAGCTCTATAGCCCTGTAGCTCTATAGCCCCATAGCCCTATATAGCCCCCTAGCCCCCTAGCCCCATAGCCCTGATTGGGGGCACGCCCTCTGGGCCCGGAGCCACCCGCGCACGGGCCCTGCCCCTCGGGGAGCTCCGCCGGCGGCCCCCCACGGGACAGGGGGCCGCGCGCGCCCCCCCCCCCCCCCCCCCCCCTCCACCCTCCCTTCCCCCTCCTCCCCCCTCCTCCCCTCCTCCCTCTCCTCCCTCTCCTCCTCCTCTCCTCCTCCCTCCTCCCTCCTCCCCTCCTTCCGCCTCCTCCTCCTCCTCCTCCTCCTCTCCTCCTCCTTCCTCCTCCTCCTCCTCCTCCCTGCCCGCTTCGGCCCTCTGGGGCGCGGCCTGCGGATCGCTGCCTTCGGTGGGGCGGGCGCGGCCCTGCGTGCTGGGGCTCGGCCCCCGCGCGCCCGCAGGGGCGCCGCGCACCCGGAAGGCCTCCCCGGCGACGGGCCACGTGCTGGGCCTTCGGCTGGCGCCCGCCCGTGCCTGCCTCGGTGGGGGGCCACACGCGAACCCTGCCCCGGAGTTCGTAATAAAGGGAGGGGGGGTTCATTTCGGGGGGGGGGGTCTCTTTCAGGCTATCTTGGAGGGCCTGGGGGGGTCTGGGGACGATGTTTTGGAGGGTTCTCCCACGGGGGAGGTCTGAAATGGCTCGTCTTGGAGGGTCCAGACCCCCTCCCTTTTATTACGAAATCTGGAGTACCCCACCCGCCCCCTCAGACATCGTGGGGGGTAGGGGTGGATTTTCGCGTGTGGCTCCCTATACTCGGTCGGCGAGATGTGTGAGCCGGTCTTTTTGTCATCAGCGACAGCGCCCGTGACTGGCCCCGCCCCCCACCCCTCTCCCTCCCCCCCCCCTGGTCGCGTCCACGGCTCGCGCCAGCGCCGTTGGGAAGACTGCCATTCCCAAGCGTTCCCCGACGGCGCTGATTGAAGGGGCCCAATGACACACAAATAAATACACACAAATAAAAAGATTGCCATATTTTCTTATATTTTCTTGGTTTTTGTCTTCCCCCCCAATTCCCATATTTCCCCATATTTCTGGGGAATCGAAGATTCATTGTGTCTGTGTGTTTGCTTCCCTCCTGACTGATGCGCCTCGAAGCGTGTCCGGAGCCTCCCCACTTTGGTCGCGCCCGTTAATAGGGTCCGAGCAGATGGGGTCGGAGCATCGCGCCGCGTCGCCGATGCACCTGAGCTGCATCGGCGATGCCGGCAGCGACGTCGGTGACGTACAGTCGAGGCGTTGACCTAAGGAACCCTAAATAAGGAACGAGGCCCCTATCTTCCATAAGTTGAACTTCGATTTCGTATCGAAAGCCTAAGGAAAATCCAAGGCAAGCTGCGAAACAATTAAGGAACACGGAGCCCCTCCCCAACGAAAAGGGTTCCTTCTTCAGGGCCCCGACTGTATCGGCGCCGTCGGCGTGGAGGAGATAGGGCTCCACATCGGGCCGAAAGCCGATGCATCGGCGATGCGGCACGATGCTCCGGCACCATCTACTCCGACCCCTCCCGAGAGGCCTTGAGGTTATCACCAGGGGGCAAAAAAACCTGCCTCTCTGCATGTGCACTGCCCCATCGGCCAGGCCCCTCTTGGGCCAGGCATTAGGTCGGGCATGTCCCCCTACAGGCGGATTGTGGACGAAAAATAAGAAATACTCCAAACATGCTCATAAAAAAGACTCAAACCAAAAATTATTATTAGAAGCCGTGTGACGCGCAGTGGAAGGGGGCTAGCGAGATCGGCTGTACTCTCGCGCCGTGCTCTTCCAGACGCTTGCCGGCATGGTAGCAACCTCTGACCAATTGACGCTTCCTTGTACACATGCATGCACCGCGTGCTTGTACGCCTCGCGCGCCCACCAGACTACAAAAATCGCCCCCAGACTACAAAATCGAACATTCCCCCGCAGAGGGACACGCAGCCCGGCCCAAAATCGAATCGATAAGTCGGATCGGCGATCGAAATGAGTCGAATCGGCAGAAATCGGCAGCCAAGTCGGGAGAAGTCGAATCGGCAGAAATCGGCAGGCCAGCAGGCCTCCCTCGAGGAATCGGCACCCCAATCGGAATCCGAGGCCGAATCGAATCGGAATCGGAGGCCATCGAAGTCGAATCGAATCGAACCGAAGGCATCGAGGCGAGCCCTGGACACGCCCGACGCTGAACCAAGCGCGGCGTCCTCGCCCCCCTGGCTCGACCGGGGAGGCATTGCGCCGCGAGGGCGCCGCTGCCGTCGCCGCGCCGGCCTGTGCCCGCGCGTGATACGCCCCCCCCCCCCCGCACGGTTTCCCCCGGGGCCGTAGGCGACCCGAGGAGGGGGAGGAGAAGGAGGAGGAGGCGGAGGAGGAGGAGGGGGAGGAGGAGGAGGAGGAGGAGAAGGAGGGAGGAGGAGGAAGAGGAGGAGGAGGAGGCGGAGGAGGAGGAGGAGGAGGACGGGTCGCCTAAGCCCTTCGGGGAAACCCTCCACCCCCCCCCCCGCACGCGCGCCCTCGCGCTGCGGAAGGGAGCACGAGAGGCGCCTCTGTGCGGGCGGCGGGGACGCTCGCTCGCCACCGCTCGGACGTCCCACTCCCCGTGCGTTTTTCGATGTCGCGCGTGCTTTTTTGGCTCGGTTGTCCAGGATGCTCCTCGATTGGGACGCACATGGACATACTAATACTATATGTCCTCCTTGGAGGCGCGCGTCCGACCCGAACGGTGTGGCCGTAAAGCGCCGCCACGACGCATATACTGTAAGATTTCTCGGTGCGCGCGTCGCCCCTGGGGGGGGCGACGCACATATAGTATAAGTATGTTGGGGTGTTGCCGATCGATGGCCGTCGCCGAGGACAAAAATGCACACGCCCGAGCGGTACCAGGCCAAGGGGGACGCCGGGAGGGCCCCGGATCGCATCGAGGAGCTGGATCGGCAGTCGACATGAGTCGGGTCGGCGGAGATCGGCAGCCGAGCCAGGAGAAGTCGAATCGGCGGCAATCGGCAGGCTAGCACGACTCCGATAAGGAAGCGGAGCCCAAATCGGAATCCCAAGTCGAATCGAAGCGGAATCGGGAGCCGTCGGAATCGGATCGAAGCGGATTGACGGCATCGAAACGAGAGCCCCGAAACGGCCGGGGAGGAGAGCCCGTCCGGGGGCAAGGGTCCAGACCTCAGGGGGTCGACGATTTGCAGAAAACACGACGCTGGCCATCGCTCGGACGTCCATTTCCTGTGGTTTGTTCGGTTTCGTGCGTGGTTTTGTTCGCCAAATGAGCTAGGATGCTCCTCGATGGTCCTCGCCGAAGGAAAAATGCACACGTCCGAGCGATGCCAAGGACGTCAAAGGCCTGGGGTTTTTGGGGGGGGGTGCGCCGCGCGGGGGGCGGGGTCTTGGCAGGGACGGCGAGGTCTGTGCATCCGCGCGTGCTCCTCCTCCATCCAGTGGCCCATCGATCACCACGCTGACACTCAGGAGGGGCAAAAACACAGAGACACAATTAATCGACGATTCCCAGAAAATATGGGAAAATATGGGAAGTGGGGGGGAAGACAAATACCCAGAAAATATGGGGAAAATATGGGGGATATGTTTATTTGTGTGTATTTATTTGTGTGTCCCAGTTCCCCTTCAAACACCGTCTGGCGTTGTGGTATCAGAGCACTGTCGGAGCGATCAGAGAGTCTCAAACCAAGCTGAGTGCTTGCCCCAGGCCAGAGCCTCGCAAGGCACGCGCCAGAACGGTCTGGGCGGCGGCGAGATCTACACATAGGTCGGGCATGTCCTCCTACAGGCGGATTTCGGAAGAAAAATGAAAGATAGTCAAAAGATGCTGAAAAATGGCCAAGAACTATGTTTGAATGCTTCCCCTGTAAAAGGACATGCCCGACTTAAATCTACACACATCTGCTGCCCCTGGCCAGTACGCCCTCCCGGCTGGGCCGGGGCGAGCACATACACACCGCCCCATGGACTAAGTCGGACATGTCCTCCTAAAGGCGGATTCTGTGCGAAAAATAAAAAATAACCAAACAGCATTCAAACATGACAAAAAAAATAATATAAAAATCGCCCCCAGACTATTATTTGACTACTTTTGAACATTCCCCCTGTAGAGGGACGTGCCCGACTTAACCCTGGACCCAGAATCGGAGAGCCCAGAATCGGATGGCAGCCTAGTCGGGAGAAGTCGCATGAGCGGAAAAATCGGCAGGCCAGAACGGCCTCCATTGAGAACCCGAAGTCCACACCAGAACCCGAGATCGAAGCGAAGCGGCATCGATCGCATGGAAGCGAATATCGAGTCAGAGGTGTCGAAGGTGAGCCCTGGGTTTAGGTCGGGCCTGTCCCCCCACAGGGGATCTTGGGCGAAAAATGAAAGACACTCCCAAACATATTCCAACAAAAATTGAAAATGGTCAGAAAATATCACATCAAAAAATGAGCAACAATAGACAATAGTCAAACAAAAATCGCACCCCTAATATTTTATGGCTATTTTTCAAAATTCTCCCCGCAGAGAGACAGGCCCGACTTCACCCCGTGGTGGACTCGTGCAGCTCTCGCCGACCGACCTCGCCTCGGCGGGGGGGCCGCGGACCTGCGCGCGCGCGCGCCCGGGCCTGCCTCCCCTGGGCTGCCCCCGCAGCAGTGCCCGGGGGGGCGGCGGAGCCCCCCCCTTTGGACACCCGAAATGGGTACCGAAAGAATGTGTACAATGCCCAACAGTAAATGTTGTCCCAAACCAGCAGCGGCCGCTGTTGGTTTGGCGGCCTTCTGTCTCAAATGGACACAGGCCGCGGCGGCGCGGACAGCAAGTCCTGTTCAAAATGAACAGGAACTGCTGTTGGGCATTGTACCCATTGTTTCCGTGCCCATCTCGTTCGTGCAGCGGCGCCAGCTCCGCGAGAGGCTCTCCGGCGAGGTCCTCCGAGAGGACCCCCCTGCGAGGTCGTCTCGAGTCGGGCCCGTCCCTCTGCAAGGGGGAAGATTCGAGGATGGTCAAGGGACAGTCTGGGGACGGCGTTTGGAGTATGTTGCTGGCTATGTGTTTCCATGTGTTTTGACCATGTGTGAATTTGTCGTCCAAAATCCGCCTGTCTGGGGGACATGCCCGACCTAAACGCCGTCCCGGGGTCCCTCCCACCTCACGAGCGGCGAACCCTGGGATCCTAGCGACTCGAGTGTTTCGGGCGGGGCGCTTTCTCGGCCAAGGCTCGGGCAACGGGGCGCACACAAGAGATCGACGCGGCTCGAAATGGCGGGCCTGGGGCTCCAGTCGTCACCTTTCGCAGTGTTCTGATTTTTGTTGCTCGAGACGCCGGATCTCAGGGACGAGCGGCAAACGTATCCGTATCCGCGCCCCCACGGTCTAGATTCCAAGCCGCGATCCCGCGGATACGCGGCCGCACGGATACCTCCCGCGCGGGGCATCCGCGAAAAAACGCGCACGGCATCCGCGGGGGAACGGCCCAGGGGCCGGGCCGTGGATACGGACAGGTCTTCGCCCACGGCCACCTCCCCTCGTCGCTCAAAAGCTCACGACGGAAGGCTTTCGGCCGTCTTCGGCCTCCACGGGGCCCCTGGACCGTCCAAAGACTACTCGGACGAAAAACTTGTCCCGGAAGGGGTCCGTATCTTCGGGGGCCACGGTGCGAAACAAGACTCAGGTCGGGCATGTCCCCCTACAGGGTGATGTTGGGCGAAAAACTACAAATAGTCTATACTTATGTGTTTTTCTTTTTTTTTTAACAAAAAAACAAAAAAACAAAAAAAAAAAAAAAAAAAAAAAAAAAAAAAAAAAACTGCCTTTGAATGCCCCTCCTATAAAGGGACATGCCCGACTTACAAGAAGAGCACGGCATCGGAGAGGATCGGCCCCTGGGCCTCTCCTGGGGCGAGCCCCGGTCAAAAAAAATCTCGAGGGGCGGCGCGTCCGGCCGCGACGACGAGGAGCCTCCCGGAGGCCCGCGGCGGGCACGCGCGAGGCCCCGACGGGGCGCGCCCCTCGCGAGGTCCTCGCGAGAGAGGCCCCCGGGGTCCTCTCGAGCTCTCCCTCCGTGCTCTCGGGGCACCGTTGGACCGGTCCCGATCCCCACTCGCGTGGCCTGGGCCCCACTGGCCGGTGTTAACCCCCCCAAGATTCGGCGGTGGACAAACCTCCCTTCAGTAGACCTCCCCTCAGTGAGAACGGCCCGGGACCGAAACCGACGGACCTGGACCCGCAAAAATGACGGCCGTGACGCCCTCTCGCGAACCGAAAACGGCCAATTCCTGAATCGACGTCAGGGTAGGAGGTCTGTCCACCCCCGACAGATGGGGGTACAGGCAGTTTCTGTCAGATTTCGAAGGGTATATCCCAAACTGGGGGGGAATGAGACGGTGGGGGTCTGGATGGGGAGAAGGATGGGGAGGGGGATCGGTTCAGCGATACTGGCTCTCGGGGCCTCGAGGGGACGCTCGGACCTCGAGGAGGAGGCCCCGAGATCACCTCAAGACCAGCCCAAGATGCCTCCCGCGGGATCCTGCTGCCGCGAGCGCCTGGCAGTCAGGCGGAGAGCCGAAGGGGGGGAGCGGGGGGGGGGGGCGACCGAGAAGCGTACGAGGTCCGACATAAACGTCTGCCTCTTCGCCTCGGCGGCAGGGAGGAGGGGCAAGGGCGCGCGGGCACGAGGGAGTGGTGAATCGAGGGGGAGGAGGAGGAGGAGGAGGAGGAGGAGGAGGAGGAGGAGGAGGAGGAGGAGGAGGAGGAGGAGGAGGAGGAGGAGGAGGAGGAGGAGGAGGAGGAGGAGGAGGAGGAGGAGGAGGAGGAGGAGGAGGAGGAGGAGGAGGAGGAGGAGGAGGAGGAGGAGGAGGAGGAGGAGGAGGAGGAGGGGAAGAGGAGGACGAGAAGGCGAGGGCGAGAGGAGGGAGGAGGAGGAGGAGGACAAAGGAGGAGGAGGAGGAGGAGGAGACGAAGACGAAAACGAAGGCAGAAAAGGAAAAGGAGGAGCAGGAGGAGGCGGAGAGACGCAGAGGCAGAGGAGGGAGGCAAGGAGGGGCGGCGAGAAAAGGACGTGAGGGGGGAGGGGAGCCGGTGAGGAGGTGAGGGTGGTGACGAGGAGAACAGCGGAGGAGGTGAAGAGGGGAGAAGCGAGGGCACGCGATGAGGGACGAGGGAAGAGCGAGGACGGAAGATGTGCCCCCTTCTGGGGGGACAACCACCTATGAAGAGGCCGAGAGGGAGGAGCGTAGGAAGAGAGAGAACATGATCCAGCTGCGACGGTGCATACCGACGGGGCTGGCCTCTACACCCGCGCGCAGAGGCTCCATCCACGAAGCTGGCTCGCTGCTATCAGCCCTCGGTGACCGTACGCATTCACCTCCTCCTGGTCCTCCTCCCCTTTTGCCTCTGCGCTGCCTTCCCTCCTCCTCCTCCTCCTCCTCCTCCTCCTCCTCCTCCTCCTCCTCCTCCTCCTCCTCCTCCTTTTCCTCCGCCTCCTCCTCATGATCTGCGATGGCCTCCCTCCTACTCCGTCCCTCTTGAATATGAACAACTGCTCCCACGTCGCACCAGCAGACGTAACCGTAGGCCTCGCAGGGGCGGTTTGCCTGACACGTCCTCTGAACATATGATTATGGCAAAATGCTACCCTGAATCCCACCAGCCCTTTGGGCGTGAGTGGTTTAGAGAGCCCGCTCTGTTCTCAGCCCCCTGCTTCCCCTTCGGGGAGGGGTTTACCCCTCCCCCTACCCCCTCCCCCTGGACCTGGAGAGGGGGTTTCGCGGGTCGTTGGAGGGGCCTTTTTCGACTCCTGGGAGGGCTAAAAAACGACACCCCGCACGAGGATTCTGGCCCCGACGGGGGGAGGCAGAAAAAAACCCTCTCCTCTTCTTTGAAGCCAAAATCATTGATTGTACTACGGTTTGGGCCCCATTTTGGCCTTCTGAGGGGCAGCGCTCATTAAAGCTCCCCTCTTCTTTCAAGGCAAAATCATTCATGTTACGAAGGTTTTGGGCTCATATTGCCCTTCTGAGGGGGCAGCGCTCATTAAAGCTCCCCTCTTCTTTGATCGATTCCCTCCAAGATGGCCCCAAGAAGCGCCCAGAAGGCACCAAGAGGCCCCAAGATGGCCCCAAGAGGCCCCCAGGAGGCCCCCAAGAGGCCTCCAAGAGGCCCCCAAGATGCCCCCAAGAGGCCCCCAAGAGGCCCCAAGAGGCTCCCCCGAGGCACCCAAGACGCTCCTGGAAGCCCCTGGGGCCGCCAAGAGGCCCCCAAGACGCCCCAAACGGCCTCCAAGAGGATCCCAAGAGGCCCGAAGAGGCTCCCCCAAGGCACCCAAGACGCTCCTAGAAGCCCCTGGGGCCGCCAAGAGGCCCCCAAGACGCCCCAAAAGGGGACGAGGTGCCCGAACGCCTCACGCCACGAGGAGCCCGAACGACTCACACCAGGACGAGGGGCCCGAACGACTCACACCACGAAGAGCCCGAACGACTCACACCAGAAGGAGGGGCCCGAACGACTCACACCAGGACGAGGCGCCCGAACGACTCACACCACGAGGAGCCCGAACGACTCACACCACGACGCGGGCCCCGAACGACTCACACCACGAGGAGCCCGAACGAGTCACACCAGGAGGAGGGGCCCGAACGACTCACACCAGGACGAGGGGCCCGAACAACTCACACCACGAGAAGCCCGAACGACTCACACCAGGACGAAGAGCCCGAACGACTCACACCACGAAGAGCCCGAACGACTCACACCAGGAAGAAGGGCCCGAACGACTCACACCAGGACGAGAAACCCCAAACGACTCAAACCACGAGGAGCGCTTTCTCTCCCTCCTCCTCCGCCTCGTCCTTCTCCCGCTCCCCCCACAAGGAGGATGTACAAGGAGGCGGGAGGAAGGAGGAACAGGGGAGATATGCGGGGGCAAGCGGACACACGCCTGAAAAACACGACTGTCGGCATGCTTCGCAAGAGTTGCTGTTGTGAGATGGGCTGGTGGGGATACGCGAAGCGTAAAGAATTTCAAGACTCGGACGGCGTCAATGATGGGAGGGCCAGTCGTCTTCGAAATGCGGCTCTTACATCGGGGCATCGCA